GCCTCCCCCACCACCACCACCACCACCGCCTCCGCCACCACCGACTCTCGCGCCCGGCCCCCCACCTCCACCACCACCGCCCCCACTGGGGCCCACACGAGCTGGTAGCGCTGGAGCCCCCACGAACGCAATGGGGGGCCCACCTATGCCACCCCCTCTGCTCAACACCAGGTCCGTGTCCCCGAGTTGCAGCCCCGAGCCCACGGACAATGGGGGTAAACTGCTCCCGCAGCAGGAGACTCCCACTCCACGCACAAAGATGAAGACCATCAACTGGAACAAGATCCCGAATCACAAGGTGAACAAAACTGATCTGTCTCCTAAAAGCACAGTCTCACATTGATTTTGAAATTTGATGAGAATTTCTTAATTTCATCAAATCATTTGGTAGCGTAAGCGTACAGTGCTACTCATTCTGCCTGGTCAGTTGACGTTCCATATTCCACCTGCCGGACCCAAGATACTGGGCTCTTTTCAGGTGGTGGGCAAGAACAACATCTGGTCCCTTGTTGCACGCAGCCACCAGCACTCGCCTATGGCCGACCTGGACTGGGCCGAGATGGAAGGGCTGTTTTGCCAGCAGGCGCCCCCTGCACCATCCTCCCAGTCCTCGCCTCGTTTGGGGCGCGACCCGCAGGACCCCGATCGCAGGCGCAAGGAGTCCTCGGAGGTGAGCTGTATTTCCGTCTCTGAAAAAATATTTCTCTTTACATTAACAAATTTTTGCTTTCATCATCATCATCATCATTACAGCTGCACTCATTAGGGTGTTTACCCTGCACTGGCTCTGGTGTCAAAACTTAAAAAGAGAAAGGATGTTTCATTTAAAATTTGCTAAAACTCCATCTCTATCATACTTTGTCTCTCACAATGTTAGCTGAACGGTGTCTTAATTTCGTTGCTTACAGATTGCTCTGCTGGATGGAAAGCGAAGTCTCAATGTGAACATCTTCCTGAAGCAGTTCCGCAGGTAAGTGCTTAATCTGAGTAGTTTACAGTCACACGCACTTACAGTACATACTACCAACAGACGTCCATCCGAACGTTCGCTTCCCCTGAGTGGCCGACAGCCGCGCGAATTTGTTGTGTGTATTGCCAATAGAATCACCTGAAAGAGTTCGCAGATATGGGCAATCTAATATTGGCTGACGAGCATGAATTCGTGTTCAACACTTCAAACTTCAACTGAATAATATTTAATAATATGATTCTAACCTGCAAGAAAACACGCTGCATTCATCACCACTGTTTTTTCTTAGAAGCCAGTAGTTGCAGTGACTGGGACCAAACCACGTATTTTGTCTGCGTCAATAGCTTCCTGGTGGATAGAAAACAAATTTGTTACTGAGAAAGACTCCTTGTCTGCTACCCCTCCCACCCCTCTCATCCCCTTCTACTGGGCGTTGAACGCCGTTTCATCCAGACCACTGGTACTGTGTGTGCAGCTCCAATGAGGACATCATTCAGCTCATCCGGGATGGGGAGCATGATGACATTGGTGCTGAGAAGTTGCGAGGCCTGCTGAAGATCCTGCCAGAGGTGGACGAGCTGGAGATGCTACGTTCATTTGACGGAGACAAGGCAAAGCTTGGAAATGCAGAGAAGTTCCTGCTGCAGCTCATAGACGTCCCAAAGTGAGTCTGTTTTTCATTTATACTTGTTCCACTTGTGATCACAATTCATCATGGCAACAATAACATGACGCATCCAGTGTCCTGAATATTCACCTCAATATTGTCCTCCTTGCCCAGCATCTCCATCAAAATAAAGTATACAGGAAAATATTTGTTTCTTTCCGTTCACATAATGTTTGCGGAACAGTGAAGTTTAGGAGGCACTTCAAATTATCATATTGTTATTTTTCTCTCCTGTGCATTTGCCTGCCCCCCTCCCCCTTATAATTTCAGTTTGTGCTAATGGCAAATTCTCACACTTGTTGCAGTTACAAGCTGCGGATTGAGAGCATGCTTCTTCAGGAGGAGTTTGCTGCCAACATGGGGTACCTGGAGCCCAGTATAAACTCCATGATCGTTGCAGGAGAGGGTGAGTAATAGGAAAAGGCAGGCATCACATTCCTTTCACTGCTAACTGAGGAGGGTTCATTATACCCCAGGCACTAGGTTGTCATGACACCTAGAATTCTGCGGAATATTAGTCTGAATTATCTCTACTCTCTCTCTTATGAATTTTAAGATTTGTGGCTTGTAATTCTGATGCATTCGGCAGCTTCAGCCAACTGTGAAACCAAAAGCATTTCATTTAAAATTGGCATTAGTCAGTATAAAATGGCGTGAATCAAAATCCGAAATTGATCGCAGGTAGTCAACATATGCGTTAGAGATTCCCATTATGTTTTGTTCTTGTAAACATTTTGTCTCATGCATGTGCTTACCAGTGCATCACACACCGATAGGTAATAGTGAACATGGCGGGGAATATCCGAAAGAATAAAGTGTACTTTATAACCACTGACTGAAAAAAAAGTATTTACAGTATTTCTTTGAAGATTTCTGTCTTCTGGGTTGTTGCGCTGTGTAGTCTGGTCGATGTTAACCGACGTTTCAGAGGTCATACTGCCTCCGTCATCAGAGTATGAAGATTTCCGTCTTCTGGGTTGTTGCGCTGTGTAGTCTGGTCGATGTTAACCGACGTTTCAGAGGTCATACTGCCTCCGTCATCAGAGTATGAAGATTTCCGTCTTCTGGGTTGTTGCGCTGTGTAGTCTGGTCGATGTTAACCGACGTTTCAGAGGTCATACTGCCTCCGTCATCAGAGTATGAAGATTTCCGTCTTCTGGGTTGTTGCGCTGTGTAGTCTGGTCGATGTTAACCGACGTTTCAGAGGTCATACTGCCTCCGTCATCAGAGTATGAAGATTTCCGTCTTCTGGGTTGTTGCGCTGTGTAGTCTGGTCGATGTTAACCGACGTTTCAGAGGTCATACTGCCTCCGTCATCAGAGTATGAAGATTTCCGTCTTCTGGGTTGTTGCGCTGTGTAGTCTGGTCGATGTTAACCAACGTTTCAGAGGTCATACTGCCTCTGTCATCAGGGCGATGAGTATTTCTTTCATTGTTCATACTCACCCATCATTTTTGGAGGTTGCTGAAACCTAATTTTCTGTTAATAGACTGAGATCAAAATTGTCAACTCCGTTCTGTAATGCATGTATTCTACAGATGCTCTCACAACTCTTCACATCATTGTTTCCATTGTTTGTTTGTTTGTTATACTGTTCAGTGCATGTACTGCAGTTCATACACACATCAAGAATGACAATCAGCTGTAAAGATTTGACTCTTCATAGAGTTTTATATGTGAGCCACTGTAGCTCAGTCAGTATAGTAACCGACTACGGACTGGACGAACGTGGTTTCATCCCCGACGGGCAGAGGATTTTTCTCTACCCTCTGCATCGAGACTGGCTCTGTGGCCCACCCAGCCTCCTATCCAGTGGGTACTGGGGTTCTTTCCCGGGGTTGAATCGAGGCCGGGGCGTGATGCTAACCGCTTACCCCCATCTAGTGCTGAGGTCAAGAATGAGTACGAGCTATACCATCTCTCCTCCCAAACGCCTACATGGCACATAGTGGGACAGACAGAGTTATAAATTATTTTTCCATATTTTTTTTAAATGCACCGTCTCTACAGATGTTTAAAATAATTTCATTTAGTTTGATTTATACCTCGTGTAAATTAAATATTAAATTGAACTGATGTTGTTATTTATTTTATGTATTTTTGTTTTATTTAACAATTCTGTCTGCAGCTCAAACTGTATAATGTATGATGAAGTTTTGATTAGTGAGTAATGAATGGAAGCGGTCATAACCATTCGGCCATTGAGGTACTGTCCCAGCGTTTGCCTGGAGGAACTGAGGAATATCACAGAAAACCTAGGTCAGGGTAGCCATTCTGTGAGCTAAGATTTCAGCCTGGTACCTCACAAAAACGTAAGAGGAGTGTTAAACAATTGATCAAAATGTTTGATGGGTGAAAATGGAGTTTACCTTACAATATGGAGTGTAGCAGTTTAATACCAATATTTGTCTAAATATAACAATTATTTAATTTAATTCCATAAACTTAAGAAGCTGAAGTACAGAACCATGTGTGAGTCATGCACCTTACTTTACATAGTCTTGTTATACACGTTGCAGATCTGATGACGAACAAACCACTTCAGGAAGTTCTGTATATGGTGATTGTAGCTGGCAACTTCCTCAACTCGGTATGTAGCCCAACAGCCGGAAAGCTGTCAGTGTCCCACCAATGTAACTTGGTGATTTCCGTAACAGATTCTCATGATCAGGCAGTCATGATATTGGAACCCACATTCAATTATATTCTCTTCTCTAGAACTTCTCCTTTTTGAAGAAATCAATTTGGATGCAATGGGCAATACACATAGCATACAGGAAGGTGATGAGAAATGCACACAAAATTTTAGTGACAAGAGATCATTTGGAGGGATAATTTAAAATTTATTTTAAAGAAATAGGCTGTGGATCAGATTCAGCTGGCTCAGGGCAGGGCCCAGTGGGAGGAATTTGTGTACACAGTAATAAATCTTCAGATTCCATGTGAAGTGAGGGATTTCTTGAACATGTGGGCTACTGTCAACTTCTCAAGAAGGATTTTGCTCCAGGGAGGGAGTCAGAAATTCTGCTTAATGCATCTTCTTCCTGTCATCCACTTGTCTAGCCCATGACCACACAGGGATCTGAAAGGCATCACGAGTGTTGTACACAAGAGACTACAGAAAAACAACCTACTTTTAAGTGAGATCAAAATAAGATCCCCTGTGAAGTTGCCTTAATTTGACGCTGGAATAAAATGTCTGCCACTTCTGTATTTTCCTTCTGAAATACATTGCATACATGTGAAACAGTTTTCAAACCAGTGAGGTAAAGAGTTTGGCTTTTGTCACAGACAGAAATGATTTCTATTTTGCTGTAGTACAGGTCAACAGAACCAGGCACTTCGTACATGATTTTCGCATCTTGTTGCAGGGAGGATACGCTGGAAATGCTGCTGGAGTGAAACTGAGCTCCCTTCAGAAGCTGACAGACATTCGGGCCAACAAACCTGGCATGAACCTCATCCACTACGTCGCCTTGGTAAGTGTCGGTAGCTCAGAGGTCGTCGTGAGATGGAGAAATAGATAGTAATTATGGAATTTCTGCCTAGTGACTTGATTTGTAAATATTACATGAATCCAGAGTTTGTTATATGTAAGCAATACAAAAATTTGTCAAAATATGAATAGTTAGGAAGAATAGTAAGATGAGGAGAATAGCTTGACATTAATATGTTGTCAGGATGAGAGGTGAAAGTTACTGGCTTAGGTTGTGTGCAGTGATGTGCTTCATTATTAGAAGCGCTGAGCCTTAATGTTGTTCTGTTATAGTGTTTATTTGTCACTGGTCAGATGAAAGCCTTCAGTTCAACACTTTCCGTGCTACAGATAAGATATGTCGCTTTGAAACCAATCCTTCCTCCTCGTATGTCTATTTCATAAAATCGAGCAACGAGAAACATGTTCTGCCATCTGCTGGAAGTTTAATCTAACATTATGCATTGATTCACAAACTGAATTTATAAGTTGCTATGAAACTATTAATTGGATAAATGTCATAATGAAGATGGTTAATTTTTACAGCATTAGTGATTAAGACAGATAATACAATTATTTTATTGTTTGTTTGTTAGCAAGCAGAGAAGAAGCGCAAGGACCTCATGAGATTCCCAGAAGAGATGACAGTACTTGAGGATGCCACAAAGTGAGTCTTAAAGCCAAGGACACTTCATGTGTGTCTTGTGGTAGAAAAACTGTTAGTACAGTGTTTTTGTGTCAGAGAATTTTGGTTTCCCCTGCCAGGCATGTTTCTACTTAGAATATAATAGGACTTTCAAATATATATTGAATTAAAAATTAAAATAAAGACAGCTGCATACTGGTAAGCAGCGTCATATAGTCTGGTAGATATTGACCAGTGTTTTGGAGGAGATTGCTGTTAGGAAAGTCGTTTGTGAGGATGTGAGGAGGATGGAACCAGCTCAGGAGAATATTGACTGGTAGACTTTGATATCAGCGGTGCTGCTTTGTGTCTATTTCATGACGTTTGTAGCTCAGTCTATGTATCGTTGCATGACTGATGAATAACAGTTTCAAAAGGATATGGAAGGAAGCGATCATAGCCTAATTAAAGGTACTGGCCCAACATTTGCCTGGAGTGGATGTGTAAAATCACAAAACCCCTAAGTCAGAATGGTTTGTGTCTGGGCCAAGATTTGGAGCCAAGACGTCCCATTTGCAAAGACGGAGTGCTAACTACTCTGCTGCATTGTCTGGTTGGTGGCATTGAAATTTAGTGTTCTGCTACTTGAGTGTTTGTTACTTTGTTTGTTTGACCGTTAGTTGCCAAACCACCTCACCTTCATATTGCTACATAGTGCTCTTCTGCTGAACACATGTTTATTTATTTCAGTCTGGAATGAGTGAGTTAGTCATATAAAACATGGTAAGATGTTAACAGCAAATGTTTTAAAAGAAATGTAGTGGAGTGCTTTAGGTTACTTCTGGTTCATAAAGTAGATGACTGAGTGATGATCTGTTTTCAGGACAACAGTGGAGCAGCTTCAGAATGAGATTAATGCTTTGGACTCTCGCATCAAAAAAGTTCGGAAGCAGATTGACCTTCCATCAACAGAGAAGGAGATAAAGATGCAAATGGGAGAGTTTCTACAGGTAGATAGAAAAAAACCCTGCGGCTGTTCATGTCTTGTCAGAACTACAGTGCCATGACGATGCTCATTTTCTCTCTTTTACCTTTTTTAAGAATGCTTCTTGTCACATCATAAGCATTTCAGTTGTTGGAATGTGAAGTTATGTAATAAAGCAAATGAGAGCACATGAGAGGGATGAGAAATACAAAGTTTTGTTTGGAAAAGCTGAAAGGAATAGACTACTTGGAAGACCTAGGTATAGATGGGAGGACAACAAGTAGTAGGGTGAGAGGATGTGGATTGGATTCATCTGACTTGGACTGTGTTGTAACTGTAGATGGCAGAGCATGAGGTGTCAGGACTACAGCGAGACATGGAGGAGCTTGAAAATGTTCGCAAGGCACTGTCAGAATTCTTTTGTGAGGACACCGCCACATTCAAACTGGAGGAGTGCTTCCGGGTATTCCACGGCTTCTGCGTCAAGTTCCGGCAGGCTGTCGCCGAGAATGAGCGTCGACGTATTCAGGAGGAGCAAGCCAATGCTCGCAGGAGACAGCGCGAGGAGCAACTTGCTGCACGTCGTCGACAGCAGAGTGAGTACCATCTGCAGACAATTTTCTGTTCATCAAATGTTGATATTAATATTTTAAATATGTAACTGGAAGAATGAAGATGGCTGTCTTCTGGGTTGTTGTGCCATGTAACAGCTTAAGACCAGAAGTACTGGAAATCTTACAATAAACATTAGTTACATGAGACTTTTGCTCTTCTTGCAGTGAGTGGGCAGCCGGGCTCTGAGTCAGAGTGTAATCTTGTCGACTCACTGCTTTACGACATCCGCTCTGGATTCCAGCAGAGCAAGGGTCTTGACAGTAGCAACAGGGACCTCAGGGTGAGTAAATGATCGTCTCTTTTCAGTTCCCTTTGATGCTGCGTGAGGACAATTCCCATATTTTCCCATCCTGTTTGCTAATAGTCTCTCATTTGCCCCCTTGAAAGTATGATCACAAAGTTCGACAAAACTGCGGCTGCCGCATAAATCTGGCGGGCTTCTTGTGACAGCACTTGATGATTGTGTGACTGTCCGTCTGTTCAGAAACACCGCATCGCCAATGCTGAGGTATCATGCAAAGAGTATAGGACACTCAACCTTGCTGTGGATACCAGAGCTGATGCACTGAAATAACCAAGTACTTTGTACATCTGTTAACAAACATTCATTCTCATGAGGTATTTTCCTCTGTACATGATCATAAAATTATCACCCACTTATCAGATGCTAAATACTGAAATCAATGTGTTTCCTTGTTTAATGTTTATTTCAGTGATTCTATTTAGGTAATCTAACTGTTTATTGTTAAAATCAAATGTCATACAGAGTAACCTTATACTGTAATTTCACTGTTTGTGAAAACTTAAATGGTGGAAATTTAGCATTGAAATTATGAACTTTCAGTCTGCAGTTAAGTGACAGAAAACAGTTAACCTTTGCTAGAGTGTGTAAGCCGTTCCCACATACTTACAGTTCAATGGTAACAGTGTGTTAGCAACAAGTATAACTACTGTTTGTGATGTCAGGCTCGCAAGCTGCAGAATGGAGGCATGACATCAGAGGAAGACATGTCGTCTATCACAGGCTCACCACTGGTATCTCGCCGTAGGATGGGCTCATTCTCAGGGCCAACAGGTGACCAAGCGACTTCTGGCGGACGTGATGAAGGATATTCCCCAGGTATGTGACCGGTTCACACGTGTTGTACCACGAGGTGTGAAGGAACTGTACAATCTTTACACTAAATGCAACGCAATCTGATCCCGAGAATAAAAAGTGTAAACCAATATAAATTATCTTTAATTAACAGGCAGTCTTCCATGTGGAAACTTACAAAGAAAATCTAGAATGTAATGGGGATCCTGTCAGCTAAAATATCTTGATTTTTCTTCATATTTTCCTGGAATTAATATAAGAATTAACTTTTGTGTCACAAGTGGGGAAGTATTAAACCATTGATAAAGTATGTCTAGAATACTTTGACAGACAAAATAAAGAGAAACAAATGAATAAAAGGAACTGAAACAGTGGTGTCTCAGATGGGTCTGCAACCATTTGAAGCTGCTAATAGAGTGATTTTTATAATTTTAGCCATAGTCTGTACATGAAGGTGGTTTTTCTGTCATGACATCCAGCTGTCCAGCCTTCAGTTAAAAAACTGTTGAGGTCTATTTCCCAATGATCAAAATGAAATATACATTTTCGTTGTACGTGTATGTTTGCAGATGAAAGGGGCCGACAGTTACAGCGTCATGGCTGCCGAGTCCGTTCAGGTCAATATTAAGCATGCGGATTGTATTCATGTAGAGGATCATGTCCTATGTTTATTTGCGTCCATGTTCTGTTTTCTGCTACCCTTGCATCGTATAAGTTGCTATCTTTGTGTCAAGTGGAATATTGGCAAAAGAAACTGTGATTAATGCATTTGTTTGTTAGATAAATTGAAGCTGTATGAGCCCTTTAAGTGCAGATATGAGATACTGCTGCATGGTGTGGACATGTACGTTAACGTTGTTCTGTTGTAGTTAAGTTTTGTTAGGTTTTAGCACGCTGCCATCTATCAACAGAGTGTATTAACAAACCACTGGAATTTAATATAATTCACCTCAGTTTAAGGCATAACTTCTTAAGACCCATTTTAATACTATCCTCCTACTTTTGTGACCTGATCTGAATGCAATTTTCTGACTAAGATGCTGTGTGCATTTGGAAGTTCTGTCCAGACATGTTACAAATAAACCGCTATGACTAGATATCATGAAATTGCTCCATGCATTTCATTTCTTCAGTTCTCTGGAGGTCAACTGTTGTTCCATCACTTTGTTTCGCAGCTCAGTCAAGTGTTCAATAACTAACAGACTAAATCTATGGTTTCAGAGCCTAAATGGTGAACACTGCTCATATTAATGCACACCTTTAGTCACTATCCTGAGCCAATTTAATCCAGTATATATCAACAAAACCTACTTCCCAAACATTAATTTTAAAGTTATTCTCCTGTCTCCTCCTCAGTTTTATAGGATTCTGCTTTCTAAGACATGTCCACATTAAATTTATCTATGTATTTATTATATCATATGCTACACTATAATATTGTTAAACAAATTTCATCAGTTCTATCTCCATAGTCCTAAGAGGAAAAGTGTTATGTGAGTCTACAGACGACTTGACATTTTTTCAGATGTGACACCAAATGGAAGCTTGAGGCGTCGGCGTAGTAGAGTCCCATCTGAGGAGGATGACTCAAACCTGATGGATTTCTTGCGTTCATCAGGCCACGATGGTAGCCGTGAGCGGAAGTCCTGGGGCAGTCTTGGTAAGGGTTACACTTGCACACTGTCTCACGTCTTGCAGTCACCAGGCATGTGCAAACGTCCTGGGGTGATCTCAGTGAGAATTTTGCTCACAGTGTCTCTGCTTTGGCTGTACTAATGACACATTGATTCCTGTACAGATCGCTCATGGGCCCGTCGGGCTCGTGGAGGGGGTCGCAAGCGTCCAGACCTGCTCAGTGCAGATTTTTCTGATGAAAGGGAGCGCCCCAGTTCACCATCACCCCTTATGGAGACAAAACCACTGCTGCCATCTGCACAAGAGGGAGACAGCAAACCAAAGTGAGTTATTCAGTTGTTGGTTGGTTTGCTTACATTTCACATTATTACTCTAGAATTTTGCATTTTAAACTATAGGTTCTCCAAGAATCATAGACAGAACTATGCTTTCAGAAAAGTGTGTTGGATACATTCCTTTAAGTGACATGGAAACATGCTGCCAGGAGGAGAGATGGAGTCTATATGGTATATGAAGATTTCATTTTTCCTCTTATCATAATTTTTGCCTACTCCTTGATACACCATTCACACCAGCTACCATATGAGTATGAGTGAATATTAAATTTAATCAGTAGAAATGGAGTATTTAACTCCAGGGTTAATCCTTTAGTGGTATACTACCGTGATGCATGGTCATCTGGACTGTGTGTGAACCTTAGCTGATAAATGTTAGAATACCATAGACTGTGGGATTTGAGGTTTTCATGGCATTCAGTTCAAACATGGCTGTCTTGTGGGTTGTACACATGCGGTAAACTTCTATCAGATTACATGGTGCTACAATGCAGAAGACAGCCATCTACCATGGACTGGTTTGTTTTAAACATTTGCGTTCAGAAAAATATGAGACGTTTCATTTCCAGGGCGTGGCGACAGAAGATTGAGGCATGGTTACAGGAGAATGAGAAAGAGGAGAAAGAGAGTGAGGAGTTAAGACGCCGGTCACGCAGAGTCCAGAGCAGCCGGCGTTCACTCGAAGCAGATTCAGGTAAGGAAAGGTCTTCCACCTGTTTTTCACTTTCATTGTGCACCGACAGAAATTAAAGTAGAGAGATTGCTTAGTACTGTGTACAAAAGTGGCTGCTTGGAATGTCAGCCAGGTTCAAATCACTTTCATAGTTTCCCTGTTTATATAATGGAATTATAGAATACAGCTCCTTCGTCTTCTACCAATCCCATTTATTATTTCCTGTTAAAACTTACACAACTGATACAGTATCATTTAACAGCCATGCAGTCTAATATACCAGAAAAGGATTTCTTGATGAGATACAAGGTTCTTGTGGTGGTTAAGATGTTAATGTTAGTCTCGTGGGTTGTCTTCCATGTGTGCTAAAGACAGAAGCAGCGTGTTCATCCGAAACGTTTATATCGACATACGTAAGTCCACATGGTATTATAGTCCAGAAGACTGACATTGACAGATTCCTTGTGACTAACAATTAAATCTTCTTGGGTTCTGGGCTGTGTCTGTTGGTTAAGATTCACCAATGTTACAGGGACCATCTCTGTCCCCATCAGTAGGGCTATGGTGGTCCCTGAGACTTCGGTGATTTTAACCAACTGACACGGTTCATAGCCCGAGAAGGTTTTACTAAGATTCCTTGATCTTTACCAGATAAACATAGGACAGAAATGTTGGTAACAATGGAGATATATTGGTGTTGTCTTGCAGAGAGTGAAGGAAGGAGTGGCACATTGGACACACTGCCTGAGGAAAAGTCTACTAACACGCAGTACAAGCGTGTCTACTCTGACTGGCGGCCCACCATTGAAAAGACAGACATTGTTGGTGCGATGGAGGCCATTGAAGGTGGGTGTTGTATATCACATTGTAGTGGTGTCCCTGGTGGTGAAACTGGTCAGACCCTCACAGAAGTTCCTGTGGATTGGAAGCATGTAAACTGTGATCATAATGAGAATGAGCAGATGCCCACTCAAAGAATTTGGTTGGCCATCATTGGGTCAGAATAATAAATTTTAAAACTTGAGAAAGTCTCATTGTTCCCACGTTGTGATGTACCGTGAGAGGTTACACTTGTGCTTGAGACCCACACCATGAAGGAGATAAAACTTCATGTAGTCTTGACTATGCTTGAGAACCACACCATGAAGGTGTCCAGGGTGGTATGGAGATAAAACTTCATGTAGTCTTGACTCTGACACCAGAGGAGCTGTGGTGCTTCTGCTGGAGTCAGACTTGAGCTGTCCAGACTGCACAGTCACTTTACTGACTGAAAATATCAAATGGGTTGAGATGCCATGTAGTCTTGTGGGAGGTTATCAGCATTTTTGAGGAATGCATCACTTCCCTGCAGATGGAGGTGATACATTCCTCCAAAACAGAGGGAATTATCTACAAGGCTACATCCCTGTCATCCTCTTCCTGCTCAGATAGGGAGTATAATTATCCTGGAATCAGATATGTCGTTCAGATGAGGAAGATAATAAATGCATACAGAACTTTGGATGGGACCTATTTGATAGCAGTCACTTAGAAGACCAAAAAGAAGATGGGGTGATATTAAAACAGGTGACATGCCTTTGAAGCACTAAATTCATATTAATAATGTTTAAAAGTTCAGTTCCTACCTTTAAAAAAATGTTTTTCCGTTACAAAGGTCATATGGTTAATGTTGTTTGGTAAAATAATGACTATTTACTGTGAAAATATTATAAAACCTATAAATACACTTTGTAGACAAAATGCATTGTTACTGAATGTTAAAGCAGGTCATATGTATAATTACCACTGTGTTTTAGAGTGTTAAAGAAATGGTAAGAGGATGGGAGGTGGATGGAACCGATTCAGGATCATGTCCAATAGAGAGCTTTGGTAAAGTGGTTCTTATACTAGAGAATTACGTGCAGAGGGTTAGCTACTGAAACCTGGGTGACACCTGTGTTCATTTCTGGGATCAGACCTTTGTTTCATTCCAGAAGCTCAGCCACAGACTCCCGTAAAGGACAAATCCCCATGGCGCAAGTCAAATCTGAATGTCCCAAACAGTGCCGAAGAGACAGAACTGGACATGCGACGCGTACGTCGAATACGGTCCCGAGGCAGCATGGATTCTGGGTCTACCTCATCCAATCCTCTCCAGGTATTCAATTACAATGAGGCACTGCCATTAAGATGTAGCTGCTGTAGATATAATATTGTTACAGAGGTTATAGAGACATGTAGCATGCATGGCAGACAGAAGAAATGCATAGAAACACTTGTTTTGAAAACTTCAGTGAGAGACCTGGGAGAAGGTCAGAGGATAATATTAAAATGAATATTGGAGAACTGTGTTGTGAAGATGTGGACTAGTTTGAATTGAGTGGCAGGCTTTTCTGCTGATAGGAGTAAGGATCCTGTGATTCCTTAAGAAGAAGGAATATCTTTATCAGTAAAATATATGTCAGCCATTTACAGAATTTCATGTACTGTGCAGTTAGTTAATGGATGGGGTGTGAAGGAAAATTGTATGTTTACTGATAGCAATATATTGCAGATTACCAGCCAGTGCTCTGTTGTAAAGTTTGACATTATATCGCTACACTGTTTCAGTTATTGGTCGAAGTGGAGACCTGTTTTGCTTCTTTAAGTACAATTACTCATGTTCACTGCTGCCTTAACTAAGTGGGGGTTCCTGTGAAATATAATGCACCAGACAGTAGTAGTACTGTTACATTTTAATTGTCTTAAAAGGAGTCCCAAAAATGATCCATGATTTATGTGCTTGTTAATCGTACTATTGCTAGTTTATATCCCAAGCCAGTCTATGCACGTATGACACTGATTTATGAGGGTTCTGTAACACTATATAATTTCATACATATAAAATTATTTTCCATTGATGGCAAATAATAAATTCAGTCCAGCTTAGGTAGTCATTGTTGTGTTACGCCTTATGTCAGAATAAAAATTATGTTGTCTTACGCCTTATGTCAGAATAAAAATTATAATTGAATTTTGAATGTATAGTTAGAATAAAAAATACTGGCTTCATTGGTCCATAATTTTGTTCCAAACAAAGTATAAATTTTTGGGGCAAGTTTTGATCATAAAACTCCTGTGACTGAGTACCAGAACTGTAATGTTATGATCATAAAGCTCCTGTGACTGAGTACCAGAACTGTAAACTTTGTCTCCAATAATCTGGAGACATAGCAAAGCAGCGAGGTAAGAACAGTATTTATGCATAAGTAACTTTAACCTCAATCTGAGTGCCACTGTAGAATAAATAAACCAAACCACAGAGCTGATCAGTTTAAACAGGCAAGACTACTGGCACTGCAATGACACACATTTGCATCATCAGCAAATGTGTTAACTGCATGGATTATGGAATGTCACTGCGATTATGATGTGATATGAAGTTACCAGTTGAGGCCTGTTTTAAGACAGTATTCCTGTATGTGTCTTATGTACTGAGAAAAAGTACAGAGAACCTCAGTTACAATATCCAGACTGTAATCCAAAATTCAGACCAGGGACCTCCCATATATGAAGCAGCAATATATCGCTTCCTGGAACTCACTGTACCCCTAGGCTCTAACAGTGTCATGCCATTAAACAGTGGCCAAGTTTAGAATGCCTGTGTTTGAAGTGAAGGGCAATGACTGTTAGTTTCTCAAGGATTCTGCTTCACAGACTTCATTAAATTTTAGTTAAGATAAAACACGGAGTTACAGAGAAGATTGGTGTTATGGTGATTGGTAACTAGTTAAAATTGCAGGTAGGTTATTGCCAATTTTGACTGATTTTCTTTTTTTGGTGGGGGGTTTTCCTTATTCACCACTGGCAGATTCTTTCCAGTTCATCATTCATTATATGCTATTGTAGTTGTAAACCCATTGTTAAATAAATCGCTGGTTATGAAGCTGTTCTACTAGCCTGTAGTGCCACATTTGGTTGCAGTCCATCAAGGAGGAAGACAAGCGGAAGGGCATGATTGGGTCACTGGGAGACAAGTCACAGGAGCAGGACAGGCTCACCCTGTATCTGGATCCAGCACGCTCCCAACTCCTGAACAAGTGTCGCCAAGTGCCAGGTGACTTGCTACACTCTATTGTGGGTGAGGAGCCACCCACTGTGCACCGGCGCCTCCGCCGTCCGCCCCGCGATGACCAAGGTGACATTGATGCTGACAATGTTGAGACACCACCTGCCATACGACGCAGACCAGTAGAGCCAGAGGAGGAGACACTGGGAGATGGTCAGTTTGACAGGTTTGCAGCAGCACGACGGACAAGACGCTACAAGAAGACCTCAGACTACAGTTCAGACCGTGATGAGGAGCCATTACCTGCCAGGAGGACTGAGGTTGTGTCCCCAGAACTAGTGTCTGAGAAGCAGGTGATTCGCCCTACCACACTGCATGTGACATCCATTCCTGTGGCCGAGAAATCCCCAGAACAGGCCGAGGACACTGAGACGAGGCTGAGAAAGTGGCAGGATCGGTTGAAGTACCGTGGTGGGGGGAGGGAGGAGGAAGCAGCACTAGCTGATATTGCATCCGCTGGGCGGGAGTTGCAGCAGCTTGAACAGCTGCAATCTGCCAGGACAGGGCAGAGAGACCGTGTCAAAAGCATGATTGACCCCCGCCAGGTGAAAGAGGCACTGAGGTGCAGCAGGACCTCACCAGCTGTCCCAGAGAAGAAGCCAGGTGCAGACAGACCGAAGAATGAGTTTATTCCAGAAATCAAGGTACATGCCTCTACACCAAGCCATGTCAAGGGACGCAGTGAGCATGATCTGAATGATGAGGGATTTGAGGAGACACAGAGCCTTGTGTCTGAGACCCCAAGCCAGGGCACTTCATCTGATGTAGTTGACTTGCCAAGCAAGAGCAAGAGGCGGCCAGGACGCATCATCCGTGCAGATAGTAGTGGGAGCAGTAGTAGCAACACTGTACCAGGGTCCACTTCAGCTCCTGCTGCTGCTGTTGGAAGCAGGACAAAGCTAGAGCCCCGCACTGCTCTGGGAAGGAGCAACTCAGTGCGGGGAGAAGGCCGAGCCAGTGTGATCCCCAGGCGCACAGCTAGTCTGCGTAAGACAGACTCACAAGCCAGTCTGTCTCGACGAGAGCGTTCCAACTCTCGTACCAGTCTGCGCAGCTCCCGCAGCTCCCTCAACAGTGCTGCCTCTGTGAACACTGTAAAGAATGCCATGCCATGCACACCACCCCTCTCCAAGTCCTCCAGCCGCTCTAGTGTGCAGGGAGCCCGCCTGACTGGTTATACTACTGCTATCAAAGCCTTGACATCCAACTTGTCCAAAGAGCCAGTACGTCGCCATGCTTCTGCCCCTACTAAGAAACCACTTGGTCCTGTCCAGCTAAAGACTTCCTCCCAGCGGTCTGTTCCAGCAAGTCGCAGCTCTAGTAGTGGTAGCAGTATTGGGCCCAGTGTGCGTCGTCCTCGTGTCACTTCCAGCGTCAGCACCAGCTTCAAGGAGAATGCTACCAATGTGACTGGAAGACCTGGGTCTGTCCCAGCCAGTCGTAGCTCCAGTAGTGGCAGTAGTGTGGGGCCTGTGGCCAGGCGGTCAGTTCAGCAGAGGAGTGGTCTTGGGTTCATGAGGCCAACTGCTGCCAGTGCTGCAAAGGACAGTGTTGGATCTGATATGACAAAAGTGAGGAGAACAATCAAATGACAGAGCAGGCTGTTACAACTTAGAAAGGCACTGCAGCAAGATGTAAGACTAACCGGTCTAGTCAGGGAGTCTTGGTCATATGGTGTGTGTGCATTTCAATGATGTCCTTAGCAAGGTGCAGCACAATTAAGGTACAAAAGTTTCATGTGCCAGCATTCATCATAATGAGTGTACATAATTGTTAGGATATAAGCAGTATATCATGGTGCCTTAAAGCATTGTTAACAAGAAGTTATTTTACACCAAACTTACATAAAAGTCTAACATTTTTATATCTATTTTATATACATCACAAACATAACAAACTAAACACCTCTGTACAAGAAGGGAGCTGGAAGCCTGTTAGACTTGGTTTTCTAGTCAGTTCTTAGGAGACTGTACCTTGCAGACAGGCTTGTAGGTTCTCGGTAACTCTGAGCAGTAAAATATTGAAATCTCACATGAGGTTTAGAGTCTTGGCTAAGTCTGAGGCCACAGTTTACTGTACCTGGATGACTACTGGTTGAGATACAACCACTGCTAGTACTGAGACATGGTCATTCTTTACAATACCTCATACTAGGTCACAACCACTTTTCACAAACCTTTCCAATTCATCATTCATATAGTTATCCTACAGTTTGATGCTATATAACCAATGCAATTAAAAATGGGTTGTTAAATAATCTAATAATTAATCAATCAGGAACCATCATCAGGTAAGATGTTTTAAGCTTATATATTTTTGTGTTACTTTAGAGAATCTTGCTTGAAGATGGCTCTTGTCAAATTGAAAGCTGTAGTGACAATATATAAATATATGGTTACCTACCCTTTTTTAAATGATAATATTATAATAATAATAGTAATAATGATATTAATATGTTTGTACAATTTTCTGAAAGTGTTGCAATTTGTACATGTGTAATGCAATATTAACTGGTTTTAAAATGGAATCAGTGACATGAAATTGTTTCAGAGCTTCTGATGCACTAGAGAACGCTTCATACTCAGATTTTCTGAAGACTGTGAAATAAATCAATTTTTTTGAAGACTAATATTCTCTAAGGGGTGTGAGTTGGAACACAGGTGTTGTAAAGAGTGTAAACAGCTCTTGTTACCCTCATTTCATTTTGAAAGTTTGTGAACAGGTAATAATAAATGTTGACAGTTTGAAGTGTATATGACTCTTGACATCACTGATGCCATTCACAAAGGTCTAAGCTGAAATCCTGGTAAATGTGCCAGAACTTTTATGCCATGTGCACATTGCATAATGTGTTTCATAGTGTTTCTAGCACACCTTGTAGCTGTCTAACCTATTCCATGTTAATTATCCTGATTCTTTTAATTTCAATGAGGCAGTATTAGATATAACACATCACACTTTCACATATCCCTGTACTGACCAACTCCATGGAGCAGAGTCCCTCTTGAGAAGTATGCTCAGCTGGTCAAGGAACTCTTTGCCCGTTATGGACCTAAAAGTTTCAATATTGTTTTCACAAGAACCAGCCACCAGTCCCTATCCTGAATCAGATAAATATGTGCATAGGTCTACCAAGTGTATATTTTAATCTTTACGGTTTTTAGATAACAAACTTGGATGTTGTGAATTAACGACCATTAGGAGGGAAACTATAACAAACCAAGTAGGCAGAAAATTAATTGGTACGTGGCTTTATTAGTAGCAATAGTATGGGTTGAAGTATAACAAGCAATTCTTTTGCATGCGAATTATGTCTACACCCATAGCGACTGTTTTTTTATATTTAACCTAGTAATCAGTCGTTTCAAAAATTGACTTTTCTCTCAATTTGCTTCATTGCCGTAGTATGAATTTCGGATATGTCTGAACATGCACATGATTACAGTAGAGTGGAATTTGTATTGATTACCGGTGGTTTGTTTTTCCAAGAGAAAGGAAGTATTTGGTCTTATATATTTACGTTCGTTTACACAGACGTACGTCGTAACAGGTTTGTTTGTTGCTTGTTTTAGATCGTAGAGAGTTTCTTTATTAGAGGCGTAAAATGTAAGTGCATATTAAAATACAGGGACCCGATCACACTACGTCCCAAAATGGTTTTGGATTTGCTGTCACAATTTGGTTTTTAATTAGCTTTGCTTCTTGGGACTATTCGAATCCTTAAGCCATTAACAATTTGCACATTATCAGAACTGGTTTAGTAAGGTGTATTATTGGTAGGTCAGATTGCTTTCCTCCATACAATAAAGGCTCTATCATGCTGTTTGAGGTTGTGGAAGCACAAAGCATCTGATGGTAGGTGGCTCTGTCAAAATTTTTATTACTTAATTCTTTTCTAAACCCCTAAAGTGGGGGGAAGGGAGGGCCTCTTGGTAGGGTAGGGGAAAAACCCCCAGTACATGCATATTAGGATGTCACATTTGCAATGATATTTTGTAGTCTTGCACTGTGGAGTGATCTGTGTAGTACAAATTTTAGTGTGTGCTGCTTTACAGCTTGCTATGGCTGAAGTCAAGGTGGAACTAGACTTGGATAGTGAGAGTGAATCCATGTCGCTAACCACTGACGATGAGAATGATGGAGTGAGTTCTGTAACAATACCTATAATGAAGTGTGAAGCAGAGGTGAGGATAAGTCACTTGTTAGGTACCAGGCCATACTTCTGCCTGGTAAAAAACAAATAAGGATGACCCACTCTAGTCCAACTCTTTATTTCTTGTATGGTGAGGGCAGTGATTTCCTATAAACCGATGCGAATTGATTCCAAAATAATGCATTTACTACCTTTATCATCAACTAGAGTGCATGATCAAGTAGCACATATGCCAGAGTGTGTACTTGGATACTGCCTAGTAGTTGTTTTCGTGTGTAAGTATCACCCAGTGAAGGT